GTTCCTCATACTGGGAAAAAACTGTCATTCATAAAATCATTCACTTGCTTTCTCAGCAGACCAGTTAATATTTATTCTGTATTGATTCTGTTCCTCTTTCCTTTGAAACTATCATTCAAAGTGTTCAGAAGTGAAAATAGTGTAGCAATTGATACACTGGATGATTTACTCATCTGATAAGTAATTCCTGGGCACAATGAAAATATTGGAAATAGAAAAATGAATTTCACAAATAAACCTTCCAATTTCCACTAATAATTAGTCAATGATTAAGCAATTATATTACTATGGACATTCACCCCAATGCATGTGCTGAAATAGGAAGCTAGCCAAGAGAGACAATGGCATTATTACAAATATTTTCTTTCAAATTTCAAGTGGATTGCATAAGTTCAAAAGATATACAGCATCTCCATTGTATTTTCAAACTTATACATCTTTTCAAATCTTGGAAAATTTCCAAGCAACCTAAAAAGCATTCAACAAAGTTGTAAGCCTACAGGATATAAGGCTAACCACTTCAGTATGAAGTTTTGCATTAGGAGACGGTAACTGTAAACTCTCGTAATTTTACAACATGCATAGACTATATTAACCTTCCTTCTTCTCAACTATGATTTTCCTGCCATTGTGCTTTATGACAGTTAGAAAAAGCCATAGAGATCCGGGGGTGGCAAAAAGAGCATCGCACCAAGATCACTAGATTAAGAGGCTCTAACTACTTTGAGAAATTAGAGGCAAAGAACAAAATTAGATTATTAAGACAGAACTAATGGGTTAGAAAAGTAATCTATTAAAAAAGTAAACAACAAATGATTATTGACATTGTGAAAATTTCAGGGATGCTGTTTTGCAAAACCCACTTCTGCAGTATAACCTCATTTCACCAAGGTGAAGGAAAAGAGGATATGCTGTCTCTCTGGAGATTGTGTGTGAATTTGGGCATATTATGTCCCTATTGAGATTTTCAATCTCTATCTTCACAATGTAGCTTGGGTTGAGATAGTCTCCAAGGACCCTTCGTTTTAGGAAAATAAAATTATATGGATTGTGAATGCTATCATCACTCACAGGCATGAGAAAGCTTCTTTTATAGAAAGGCAAGGCTTGTGTATTTATAAATGTAAAAAATCTCTTGTGCCAGCACAAACTGCCTAAATCTAACCTCTTTTATTCCTGGCCTTCTGGAAATATTTTGGATTTTGAAAAATTGCTGTATGAAATTAAAAATCACTGATGAATCCAGTACACATTTTATACAAAAAGAAAAAAAAGTGAAATGATTTTTCCCTTATTAGCCAGAAAAGGCAAAGAAAAAACTCCCATGCATTTTTACTATTAGATCTTCTCATACCACAATATTCTAGAATTGAGAACGTTGATGACAAACAGTTGAGCAATAGATGAAAAAAATATATGTAGAAAGCTTAAGGGAGTATCTGAGCTGGGAGAAGGTGGCTCATGATTCTAATCCTAGCTACTCAGGAGGCTGAGATCCTGGTTCAAAACCAGCCTGGGTAGAAAAAAATCTGTGCAAGCCCATCTCCAAAAGTAACCAGCAATAAGCAAGGTCAGAGGTGTATCTCAAATGGTAGTGTGCAAGCACACACACACACATACATACGGGGGCACGTGTGCCGCTCCAGTACTGGGGCTTAGACACTATGCCTTAACTTTTTCACTCAGGTTAGCACTCTGCACTTGAGGTACAACTCCATTTCTGACTTTTTGGTTAATTGGTTAATTTGGTTAATTGGGAGTCTCACAGACTTCCTTGCTGGGCTGACTTTGAACAACAATCCTTGGTTTGTAACTAGGATTACAGGCAAGAGCTACTGGTTTACTGGTGCCTGGTTCACTATATCCTTTTTTTAAGCTGTTCATGTGACTTGAATTCAGGGCCTGGGTACTGTCCCTGAGCTTTGTTTTACTCAAGTCTAGCACTCTACCATTTGAGCCACAGCATCACTTCTGGCTTTTTCTGTTTACGTGGTACTGAGGAATGGAACCCAGGGCTTCATGCACGTTAGGCAAGCACTCTACAACTAAGCCACATTCCCAGCCCTTATATTATTATTCCCAGTCATTATATTATTTCTAACTACACACATTTTATCTATCTATCTATCTACTTATCTACCTATCTATCTATCTACCTACCTACCCACCTACTACCTATCTACCTACCTCACTATCCATCCATCCAACAATTCATCCCTTTCTCCATCCCTCTTTAAGGAATAAACAAGATTGATGGAGTTATCAACTCTTGTTTAATATCAAGAATCCCATTTCCTCTATATACAAGTACAAGAGAACCAACCAATTAAAAATCAAGTGTGTGCTGGGTGCTAGTGGCTCATGCCTGAAATCCTAGCTAGTCAGGAGACTGAGATCTGAGGATCACAGTTCAAAGCCAGCCTGGGCAGGAAAGTCCGTAAGACTCTTATCTCCAATTAACCACCAGAAAACCAGAAGTGGCATTGTGGCTGAAGTGGTAGAGCACTCACCTTGAGCTGAAGAGCTCAAGGTGAAGGACAGCATCCAGGCCCACAGTACAACCCCCATGACCGGCAAAAAAAAAAAATCAGTTGTGTCTGTATATAAAGTTTAAAGCAAGGTTTCTTTTTATCCTAATACCTATATCAACCAATTCCTCCATTATATCTACATGGTTCTTTTTAAGTACATTTGTGTCTAGCATTCTAATTTCCAATACTGATATTTTTAATTGTATAAATACTGTAATATCAGATTAGAAACTCTTAAGTGTGCAAGATTATTTTCTGTGTCCCACTTTTTTTTTTGCCGGTCCTGGGGCCTGAACTCTGGGCCTGGGCACTGTCCCTCAGCTCTTCAGCTCAAGGCTAGTGCTCTACCACTTAAGCTACAGCGCCATTTCCAGCTTTTTCTGTTTATGTGGTGCTGAGGAATCGAACCCGGGGCCTCATGCTTGCAAGGCATGCACTCTACCACTGAGCTACCTTCCCAGCCCTCTGTGTCCCATTTTAGCCAAAGTAAAAGTATCTGCCTTAATTTCTTTAACTATTCATGAATCATTTAAGAACAGATTATTCAGCATCCATGTATTTGTGTAGTTCCTACTTTTGTTCTTGGTAACATGGCAGAAACAAAAGGATACTATGTTAAGTAAAATAAGCAGACACAGAGACAAATACCACATTCTCTCTCATTTTCAGTTATAAGTCAATGTCATGGAAGGACAGAAGGGAATAGTGGTCATTAGGAAAAAGGCAAAAGGGAAAAAGCTCACCAAGGGGCTCCAGGACACAGAATGAATTGCTTCTGGTTCTTCTTTAGTACAGTAGAGTAATTATTGGTTGAAAATGCTATATCCCAAAATGACTAGAATATACCATTCCCAACACAAAATAATGTTTGAAAAGATAGAAATGCTTACTTCTCTAACTTGATTATTACACACTGTATACATATATTGAATCAACATAAGGTACCTCATGGAGATGTACTAAACTTCCATCTCAATAAGACTATCAGTCTGTTCAACTAGTTGTATCACCCATCTGGAATCTACTCTCTAGGAAAATCATATACTAATAAACACAAATCATCTCTTAGGTTTTGTCCACGCATGCGTGCGTGCATTTGTGTGTGTGTGCGGGTCCTGGGGCTTGAACACAGGGTATGGGCCCAGTTTCTGAACATTTTTTGGCCAGCATTCTTACCACTTGAGCCAGTGTTCCACTTTTGGCTTTTTGGTGGTTAGTTGGAGATAAGAGTCTTAAAGACTTTCCTGTCCAGGCTGACTTCAATCTTTGATCCTCATATTCCATCCTTCTGAGTACTGGCTGTCTTTTAGCTTTTATAAAGCAAAATGTTATATTCAGTTCCTCTATGAAATGGTAAGAATATGTTTCACTGAGGATATCTCAAAAAAGTGTATGGGTGGTGGGATCCAGGAGAGGAGGATAGACAAATAAAAAGAAGTGTGTATATAGAAAACATTAAAAAAATTCAATGCGGGACTGGGAAGGTGGCTCAGTGGTAGAGCGCTTGCCTTGCATGCCTGAGACCCTGGATTCAATTCCTCAGCACCACATAAGAAAAAGAAAAAAGCCAGAAGTGGCACTGTGGCTCAAGTGGTAGAGCGCTAGCCTTGAGCTGAAGAGCTGAGGGACAGCACCCAGGCCCAGAGTTC